GTGTGCTAATGTAAAAAAAAGACCTTTTTGCAATGTTATTCAAATGAAATAGTAATAATTATGAGAAGAAAAAAAACAAATCAATACTTCAAATGTACATACTAAAGTGAAATCAAATCCATTTCTGCATATAAAGAGCTTCTCATGATCTCTTCTTCCATTTCAGGTAGCTAAAGAAGTGCTTCTCCGGAACCGGAACAGACTTCACCAACCATCCAATCGGCCATGTCGCAGCCGCTATCGCCACACAAACTCCCCATTGACCCAAATTTAACCTCTCAGTATCAGCAAATCTTTTGAGAAACTCAACCATCACAACTTGCAAAACCACAGTCACTACTATAATCCCAATGAAGAGCCTGTTCTTGTGTATACCTCTAAACACATTCTTCTTCTCCAGACTCCTCGCGTTGAACTCGTTAAACACCTGACAAAGCACAAAGGTATTGAATATCAAAGTGTTCTTCACTTTCTCATTCACTCCGAATATCGATCTCCCTCGAAACTGAAGCACCAAGAGCACAGTGATCTGATAAAACGCTTGAGCTAATAAATTCCTCCACATGATGTTCGTGATCAATGGCGCGACCCTCCCGATCGGTTTCTTCTTCATCAGATCGTTTGTTGGTTTCTCTGTAGCTAAAGCCAATGCACCAAGTGTGTCCATGATCAGATTCACCCACAGTAACTGTACTGCAGTCAATGGAACTTCTCCGGCTGAAACAGCCGCTACGAAGTTGATCACGAGAGCAGCGACATTGACGGTGAGCTGAAACTGTATAAACTTCTGAATGTTGTTGTAAACACATCTTCCCCATTTCAAAACCGTTGCAACAGAGGCAAAATTATCGTCGAGGATCACTATATCAGAGCTTTCTTTGGCTACTTCTGTGCCTTGAATCCCCATAGAAAGTCCGATATCGGCTTCTTTCAACGCCGGTGCATCGTTTGTTCCATCGCCGGTAACAGCAACGACGTGTCCTAACTCTTTGAGGCATTTCACCATCAAGAGTTTGTCAAACGGTGAAGATCTAGCCATCACTTTGATTCTTTCGACTTTCTCTAACCTTTCTTGTTGAGTAAAGTTTCGAAACTCTTCTCCTTCTAACACAGCTTCTTTGTTCATCTCATCTTCAGGTGTTAAGATCCCGCATTCTACAGCGATTGCTCTCGCCGTGAAAATGTTATCTCCGGTGATCATTTTGATGTTTACTCCGGCGAATTGACAATCCTCGACGGCTTTCTTCACTCCTGGTCTACATGGATCTTTGATTCCAACGATTCCAAGTAAGCTCAGCTTCTCTTCTTTTAGCTTCTTCTCTTCCTTATTGTCATCTGAAGACGCAAAGGCGATGCAACGGAGAGATTTAGCTGCCATAGATTGAATAATCTGCTCGAATTTGATCATTTCATCTTCATCAATCTCTTTCACAACTCCAGAACCATCGTAGAACGTAGAACACATAGCTAGTATCTTCTCTGCAGCTCCTTTCCAATGAACAACACTCTTCGCTGTGATTTCGCCTTTCTTCTTCAACAACACACCACTTCTCTTCTTCTCTGAGTTAAAAGCTTCCACATGAACAACATCGTGTTCTGCAATCACTTCCTCCATATCCATTTTCAATTCCTCAACCGCCCAGCTCAGAATCGTTTTCTCCGTCGGACTACCCGAAAACTCGTGTTCGGGTCCTGATTTAGCCTTAAACACACTCCCTGTAGTGTTCATTGCAACTCCTTGACGAAACAATTCAATAACTGTATGAGACATAGAAGAAGCTTTTCCTGATTCGAGGCCGAACCAGAAATCGGTTACCTTCATCTGGTTCAGCGTCAAAGTACCGGTTTTGTCCGTGCATATAGTAGTTGCAGAGCCCATTGTCTCACAAGCAGAGAGTTTTCTAACCATAGCTTGATCTTTCATCATTCTCTTCATCGAAT